CAAATGGACCCGGCCAGTGACACGGTCGTCAACCCCAATAAACCACTTTTAGGGCAATTCACAAGGCGAGCAATTTCACGCACTACCAGGATGCCGGCTCCGAAGACGGACAGGGAAGTCCAAGCTGTTGAAAATAACGGACAGATTCACACGGAGCCTCAAAGTTCGCCGGAATCTGAATTTGGCGGGTGCTGGAGTAGCAAGGAATCTGTTTTCGCGCGGCCGGTGTCAGTGGAAGGGAGCGTCAGTGGGTGCACACAAGGAACGCTATGTTTGGGCACACAAAAGGAAGGCTGTGTTATCGTTGAACGAAAGCACGCGTAGAACAAAGGGTAGTGGTGGATGCACCACCACACAATTCGCCGCAGCGCGATCCCAAACTGACCCCTATAAACATCGATTCTCACCATCGTCTAAGAGAGCCCGTGCGGTGTTCCATTGAGAGGTACTAGTGCAAGAGCTTATCGAACTTGGACATCTCCACTGCGCAGACAAGTAAAATGCAAAAATGGATAAAAGATCCCCCCTGCAACCCTTCCAAACATTGATTCGGCCAGTCGACAAGGCGACCCCCGACTCGCGCGCCTGGAACGTCGACGTGCGACAGCTCGAACCGCACAACACGCAGAAACACAAGCATGTCTGCGACAATACTCCGCGCACCGCGACGGTCAAAACCCTTGGGGGGCAACAAAGATCGTGGGCGCGAAAAATTGCTTGCCTTCTGAAATGCCCTTGAAGGGGTTTATGGGGGTTGCCGACAGCGACAACGGCCATGTCCCTTATTTGCGGCAACCCCCATGAACCCCTTCAAGGGCATTTCAGAGGGTGAGCAATTTCTCGCACCCGCAGTCCTCTCGCAATCAACTCACACTCGAAGCTCCAGGCGTCATGCGAAGGACGGATAGATTTGCGCCGATCCTCAAAGTCCGCCAGGATCCGAACTTGGTGGATTTGCCTGCAGCGAGTAACAGGTTTTCGCGCGACTGCAGGTATTGGAACGGGTGGATGGCGTTTGCACAGAAGTAGGCGATGCTCGGCCGCACCACATTTGGGGGCGGCGATGAACGAAGATCCACGACACACCGGAAATGAACCCGGCCAGTGACACCGTCGTCAACCCCAATAAACCCCTTTCAGGGCAACTCACAAGGCGAGCACTTTTGCGCACCACCAGGTCGCCGGCATTGAAGACGGACAGGGAAGTCCAAGCTCTTGAAAATAACGGTCAGATTTACGCGGAGCCTCAAAGTTCGCCGGGATCCGAATTTGGCGGGTGCTGGAGTAGCAAGAAACCTGTTTTCGCGCGGCCTGTGTCAATGGAAGGTAGCGCCAGTGGGTGCACACAAGGAACGCTATGTTAGGGCGAACAGAAGGAAGGCATGTTGTTGGTGAACGATAGCAAGCGCAAAACGAAGGGTAGTGGTGGATGCACTAGCACACAATTCGGCGCAGCGCGACCCCAAACTGACCCCTATGAACACCGATTCTCACCATCGTCTAAGCGAGCTCGTGCGGTGTTCCATTCACAGGTACTAGTGCAAGAGCTTATCGAACTCCGACATCTCCACTGCGCAGACAAGAAAAATATAGAAAAGGATGAAAGATCCCCCCTTCGACCCTTCCAAACATTGATTTGGCCAGTCGAGAAGGCGACCCCCAATTCACGCGTCGGGAACGTCGACGTGCGACAGCGAGAACCGGACAGCACGCAGAAACACAAGCATGTCTGCGACAAGACTCCGCACACCGCGACGGTCAAAAACCTTGGGGGGCAACAAAGATCGTGGGTGCGAAAAATTGCTCGCCTTCATAAATGCCCTTGAAGGGGTTTATGGGGGTTGCCGACGGTGACAACGACCGTGTCCCTTATTTTCGGCAACCCCCATGAACCCCTTGAAGGGCATTTCTGAGGGCGAGCAATTTCTCGCACCCACAGTCCTCTCGCAATCAACTCACACTCGAAGCTCGAGGCGTCATGCGAAGGACGGATAGATTTGCGCCGATCCCCAAAGTCCGCCAGGATCCGAACTTGGAGGATTCGCCTCCATTTGGAACGGGTGGATGGCGTTTGCACAGAAGCAGGCGATGCTCGGGCGCACCGCATCTCGGGGCGGCGATGAACAAAGATCCACGGCACACCGGAAATGGACCCGGCCAGTGACACCGTTGTCGACCCCAATAAACCCCTTTCAGGGCAACTCACAAGGCGAGGATTTTTGCGCACTACGAGGCCGCCGACATTGAAGACGAACGCAGAAGTCCAAGCCGTTGGAAACAATGGTTAGATTCACGCGGAGCCTCGAAGTCTGCCGAGATCCGAATTTGGCCGGTGCTGGAGTAGCAAGGAACCTGTTTTTGCGAGGCCGGTGTCAGTGGAACAGAGCGCTAGCGGGTGCACACAAGGAACGCTATGCTTGGCCGCACTGAAGGAAGGCTCTGCCGCTCTCAAGTTGTCATTGCACGATAGCACGCGCAGATCAAAGGGTAGCGGTGGATGCACCACAACAAAATTGGGCGCAACGCGACCCCAAACTGACCCCTATCATAAACATCGATTCTCACCATGGTCCAAGCGAGCTCGTGCGGTGTTCCGTTCAGAGTTACTAGTGCAAGAGTTCATCGAGCTCGGACATCTCTACCGCGCAGACAAGGAAAATGTAGAAATTGATGAAAGATCCCCCCTGCAACCCTTCCAAACCCCGATTCGGCCAGTCGACAAGCCGACCCCCGAATCGCGCGCCGGTAACGTCGACGTGCGACAGCGCGAACCAGACAGCACGCAGAAACACGAGCATGTCTGCGACAAGAATCCGCGCACCGGGACGGTCAAAACCCTCGGGGGGGCAACAAAGATCGACGGCACACTGACAAGGGACACGGCCGCTATCACCGTCGGCAACCCCCATAAACCCCTCGAAGGGCATCTCAGGAGGTGAGCAATTTTTCGCACCCACAGTCCTCTCGCAATCAACTCGCACTTGAAGCTCCAGGTCTTATGCGAGCACTTTTGCGTACCCGGAGGCCTCTGGTAATCAGAAATCACTCGACAGTCGAGACCGTCGAAAAGGGCGGTTAAATTTACTCGGGACCTCAAAGTCCGCCGGGATCCGAACTTGGCGCTTGCTGGACTGGCGAGGAACCGATTTGCGCGGGGGATGACGGATATTTGGATGACGGGTGTGGAAGTGCACAGAAGGAATGCTATGCGTGGCTGCATGGTCAGGGAGGCCCTGCTGCTGCTCACAAGTGTTTGTTCCAAGAGAGCACGCACAACAGAAATGGTCGTTGCAGGTGCACCACGTGAGAAACCGGCGCAGCGCGGCCCCCAATAGAACCCCATAGACCCCGATTCTCCTCATCGACAAAGCAAGCACTTGCGGCGATCCTGTCGCAAATGTTGTGATCCGTGATGACAATAACTGCAAGCATCAAAAAAAAAAATGACCACGGCTGGTGGACCCCCAATTAGTACCGCAGACAAGGCGAGCTCGCACTCGGGCAATGGCAGGTTTCACAGCTAGTATCATGGGACCACGAACGGGTGCCAACCACGAAGTCCGCCCGGATCCGAACTTGAGATCGGTTGCCGCGTTCGACCGGGAGCATGAAACACTTTGTTTTTGCTGGGGTCCAATTGATAGGACTATTGTTTTTGCGGCAACGCCACCCAAAGAACAGTCATGTAACCAGGACTCTGAAAAGATCCATGCAAACCGTAAGCGTGCGATTTCAGCGACGTCGTCGAAACAACAATAATCATCCGAGCAGCTCGCGATTTCACATGCTTCAGATCGCAAGTCCGCCGGGATCCGAACTTCGTCGCACTCTGACAACTGGCAGGGCGTTCCGAACTATCGACCCCACACCCGAAAGCTGGAAACTGTGTCCCGCAAAACCTAGTCATCAGGGCAACCGGGGATGGCATTGTGACTGCGAACACGAAACCAACAACCGCCAAACAAAAAAACGCCGAGTCGCGTGTGAAAGCCTGCCGATAAGGGAACTTCGGATGCCGGCGAACTACAGCACTCATGCGATGTTTTCATACCTGCGCGTGCTCTCCCTGCGGCCGCGCGACGGCAACAGATTGCCGCTTTCGCGAGAGCACTGCGCATGATTGCTGTAGTTCGCCGGGATCCGAACTTCCCATCTCGCCAGGCAACAACACGCCACGCGCCGTTTTTTGTTTGGCTGTTGTTGGTTTCGCGCTTGCAGTCACAATGGCGACCCCCCTTGCCCCGATGACTGAGACGTTTCCCGGAGGTGCCCGGGTTGTTCGTTATTGAACGAGGCCATGTATTCGTGTTGAGGTTGTCGTCACGAAACATGCGGCACTCACGCCGAAGAAACGCTATCGTCATTGTAGCGAGCGGCGTTGGCGTTCTCCATCACGTGCACGCAACGTGTGCATTCTACGTTCTGGAGCCCGCGGATGTTGCGCGCACAGTCCTGGCATTCGTCGTACGGAATGCGCTGTCGCATCCCTCACGACCAACGCCAGGAGAGCGCGCTCAACATCTGTGGCCTCTATGGTGGATCATGTGCACGTTGTGTGCGTGGGATGGAGACGACAGCAGCTCTCCCGGGATTGACTCCATAGTCTCTTCGGGGAGGGAGGCTCAAGTGTTGTGGCGAGAACACGAACACGGAACGATGACCCCCTCCTGTTTATGAATACCATCCGTCTCACTGCACGCCACGTGGACGGCGGACATCCTTCGCACCGTGGCCACAGCGCGACGCTTAATACCAACACTGGTCGCGCGCAACCCATGTGGCACCCGCTCGTCGCTCACCACCACCGCCGCGACTACTGTCCGTCCTTGCTGGCGCAGTTGTGATAACCAACCTCTGATCTGTTTTATGAGAACAGCAAACGTGCGAGGGAAGTGTTTTGAAGGGGTTTCCTGTTCTGCTGGGAATAGGCGATTTCGTGTTTGCCACAACCACGCGGCAGTGTATTGCAATGTTCACTATGGCAACCACGCGGGAGCGTT